AATAGTATTATCTGAACAAAGTTAATCTAAAATTGGATGTAGAGCTCAAAAATGTTGAAATATACAGGGTGTTCCATTTGAAAAAATTGAGTTCCACTCATTTTTTCATGAGATCAAAGTATCTGCATTTTTTGAAGACCCTGTATGAGGCAAATGAAAATATGACTCGGAGTGAAGATCCTCATAGTATCACTCCACTCCATTTCAAATTTGATCGTTTTAGTGCAAGAGAGTTCAAGATTATCAGCATTTATAAAGTTCATGTTTGGTAAAAAAAATATCAAAATTAATTTATATCTTCTAAACGGTATTGGATAGGTATAGGGAAATAGTAAATTAATTTGTTGACAAAGTGATAATGAATCTTAATATGATATTATATACGGGGTGTTTATAGTAGAAGCGACAACGCCGCTTCGTCTGAAATATTTTGAGCATGTAGGTCATATTGATTTATGCATACTGTGAAATTTCCAGATTGATCCGTTAAATAGTTTGTCAGAAACGGCTAATTAACGCTCGTCATGAAAAGCCCTGTATGCAAGTAAATGTTAATATATTCGAAAAAAGGTTGTTAGAAGAACGACTTTAACAATCTTTGTTGAATCAAAATTAATTAGTGTAAACTTACTCCCAGTTGACGTTTTCCATTGTAGTCCACGTATGGATGTCCTGCCTCTTGAGCTGCTTTTATATACACCTCTGCGAGTTTTGTGCGATATGGGACATCACTCACCGTCAAATAACCACCAGTACTGTGAAATTCCTCATCTTGGATTTCCAGATGAGCATCTTCAGATTTGAGAAAATAAGGAAGCATGTCCTGGTAAGACCATCCCGGATTCCCCATTGCGGCCCATTTATCGTAATCCAGCGGATTACCTCTGACGTGTATCATGAAATTAATTACTGAACTTCCACCAAGAGCGAAACCATGAGGCCATTGCATTTTACCTTCAGAGCAACCTGTTGAAGTTGACAAAGAATTGATAGCAAGGGCCAATAGTTAAATTCAGCTCAAACAACAGATTTTACTTATTCATTTCAGTCAGAAACAACTTAATGAGATTCGGATGAAAATATTCAATTGAAAGAAATTTCGACGAGCTTTCTAGAAGTGATATAATCGACCAATCTTGAGAAAGCACAAGAGTGGAAAAGATGAAATAATTCAGTACATTTCGATTGGTGAATACAACTTTTACAAATGTGAAAGTAACGTAATACAAATGAATTCAGTACAAAAAATTGCAAATAACGTACTGGCCGCTGGAACCATTTTTTCTTATTAAAAAAATATAAAATACTACTCACCTTTGCAAAATCCATCTTGTTTCTCTGATTTGTACCCCCAATTGTATTTAGAAAACTCTAAATATGTACCAAAAAATGGAATATCTGTTATATGGTTGGCCTCTCCTCCTGCCTCAAGTAAGAGGATATTCCACTCTGGTACCTCAGATAATCTGTTTGCCAAAACTGAACCTGTTGGTCCCGACCCCACTATGATGAAATCGTAAGTTGTATTCTCTCCTAATGAAAAAGATTTGAATTAATTTCTTTTATATATTCAAATGTCATATTTGGTAAAAGTTTTTTCTGGATACGTTTTAAAAATGATAGACAGCATCATAATGATGTTTCCATATTCAGATTGTTTCGTGGACAAATTTCCGATGTTTTATACTTCAGAAGTCGAATGAAAAAACTGAACTGGAAAATAAAACAAGTCGCAGAAATGGAAGTATATATAATACTACTTGGCACACTCATTGCTCAGTCTACACTTGGTGTATACTAAGCACTAGGCACAATCGTCTTCGGGTGATGACTCGAAGATGATGTATAGCGAAACACGTGTCGCGGTTTTTGTAAAACCGCGATTTTTAATTTTGCATAGATTCTTTCAGGGATTTCAAGTCAATTTATATCATATCAGACAATAGAAGTCCAATCTAATGAAATACCACACCATCTGATCTTCTACTTCATGCAGAGTCATTTTATAGTTTACTTTGTGTTGGTGAGCTTTCTCTAGGCAAGGGTCGACCAACATTGCAGAAAACTTGTCTAGGTTGGATAGTTACAGGTCCTGTACAGCTCAGCAAATATAGTAATTCACCTGTCGAATGCAATTTGGCATTCATCGACATTCAGTCACAACTGGAAAAGTTCTGACAGGTAAAAGATTCCCCAAGTTTAGGAAATGTTTTTTCAGTTGAAGAACAAGAGTGTGAATAAATATTTTTTCAAACTACTGGGAGATGCGAAAATGGCAAGTTCATTGTTTCCGTTATAAACCAGTTCTTGAAGTTACAAAAAAGACTAGTGAAAAATTCTAGATCACGAGAAATGTATGTAGACTTCATGAGCGCATATTTGAAAATGGGACATGTCTGTTTGTCGCGAATCATCAGTCGATCAAATTGTATATTACTCACCATATATGAAGTTTCAGACGAGGACAGAGAAACAACCGAGTTGACGATTGTCAATGGTCATTCAAAACAGAGACACGGTATTCTTTGAATTATATTCAATTCATTGGACCAAAATTGGACTATTTTATAAAAAGGATCATTTGATGTTTTCTACTGATTTTTCGAAACATTCCAATAGAACCACTGAGAGGTCAATTTTATCTGATGTATCCAGAATTTTTGATCCCTTGAGCTTAGTAGTTCCGTGCGTAGCTTGGCATGAAACATTGCCAATGGACTTGGATACAGAGTGGAGAAACTCACGAGGAGTGTTTTTTCAACAATTTGAGAGGCATGTCATATGTGATATTGTGAAGTTGAGGGGAATTTCAAACTGGCTACTAGTATTCAGTTCAATGAAATTATCTATGGCCAGACTCTACAAATGTAACAGGGTTGATTGGTCAGTCACCTAAAGCATTGCAAACATTCGTAAGTAACAGATTCAGATTCATCTTGTGCGGAAAATTGATATCATGTACCTTCCTAGGATTACCCAGCAGACCTCCTGTCTAGGGGTATGCATCCAATGAACATAATTTGTAAGAAATGGTGGAAAGGCCCGGTATGGTCGCACTCAATGAATCGAATTGGCCTGAATAATATTGGTTTGAATCAGATGTGAATTAATCAGTACATGAACTGAGAGATTAAACAAAACTTTGCCATCAAGTCAACATGATTGATGATGTAGTAGACTTCAATCCATTCAGTGATTTGAGCAGACTCAAAAGAACCATACCTTACTGTTTCAGATGGTTATATAAAGTTAAAAATGGTAACAATGTATACACGAATATCTTGGTTGTTGATCATTTTAATCATGCAAGGACTGCACTCATTGTGATTCCACAAAGGAATTCTTTCAGAAATGAAAAGTCAATTTATGGTGGGGAACAATAAAATTATAGTTAGATCTTAACTTATATCCTGTGGCGAGTCATAGCTTATCTCTTGATTCAAAATTGTCGATATGAGTTTTGACATAAACAACACAGTTGAATATATATAGTGGAATAATGGTTAGAATATCCAAATAACTGAGTGAAGATTGAATATAAGCATAGTAATATAAGGTTTGCTCAGGGTGGAGGGTAGATTGCCATACTCTAATAAACACCCCATTCTACTGTCAGCTAATCATAGGTTAAAGATATTACTCTTTGAATACGAACATAAACGATTATTGCATTGTGGTCCACAGCTACTACTGGGTACAATACGAGAAAGTTATTGAGTGATTGAAGAAAATAATCTTGCTAGGAAAATAACACACAATTGTGTATTAAGTTTTCGAGCAAACTCTACGCCATTTGATCAAACTATGGGAATTATGTCTAAAGATAGAATGGCACCTTATTTTCCTTTCTGAACTACTCATGTTGATTATGCTGGGCCACATTTGAGGACGACAAAATCAATACATTCAGAAGCAGTATCTGATTTGACCACAGAAGCATTATTTGTATTTTTTTGTAGATTTGTGTCTCGAAGAGAAAAAAACAGCAAACGTTTTCTCTGATAATGAAACATATTTCATTGGGGCCAACACGGAACTGAAGCCATCAGGTGAACTTCTTCAGAATCAATTAAATTCTTTGAATTTGACATTTTCGAACGATAGTATTTCATTCCAGCTAACTGTCTTAATTTTGGAGGTTTGTGGAAAGCTAGAGTTTGTTCCTGTAAACATCACTTGAAAAGAGTACAGGGTTCAGCTCCACTGATTTTTGAAGGTTTTTTAACTTCACTTTCGCAAATAGAGGCAGTTCTCAACTCTCGACCATTATTCTCATTATCCTCGAATCCAATTAATTTGAACGTCCTTACCCCATCCCATTTCCAGATTGAACGACGCCTTACTACGTTACCAGATCCTGATCTGAGAGATATTCCCATGAATCGTCTATCCAAATTCCAACATATCCAGATGCTGTTGTAACATTTTTGGTATAGATGATCCAAACAATATTTAATGAAACTTCAGCAAAAGAATAAAGGTTGAAGGAGAAGAATAACCTTGAAATTGGTCAGTTGGTCCTCATCAAAGGGGAAGAGTAACTGCAGTTTTTACCGGACATGATGAGAAGATTCGTGTTTCAACAGAAAAAACTAAAAATAGCGAGTTGAAACGTGCCGTATCAAAAATGCCGTTTCATTGAGTGATACTGCCTGAACTGTGTTGATTTTGTTTTGAAATGAACTTTCAAAGTGGGGGTAATGTTCAAGCTTTGTTTGATGTTTAAAGTAATTTCTTTCAGACTGAACACACAGTATTCTATTAATTTTACAAGAAATTTATATAGTTGCTGAGATACAATAATAATAATTCAATGATTTTGATGTATTGTCAATAAATAAACAACTACTGAAATTAAATTTGATAATTCGTATATTTGGAATTCGAAACCGTAAGATCATACCAACTAAGTGAAAACCACGATTATGTTACTCTAAAATTATATTTAATGAACAGTCTCATATTGGTTAACATTGCTATGAATTTTATCAAGTTCTTACCATCATTTCTCATTTGAGGATAGAGGGGATGAGGCAGCGGTCCACTTTCCGTCAAATTCAACAAAAAGCTCACCATATTTTCTATCACTGGATGATTTCCTCTGATGATTGGTACAAGAGCAATCATCATTACTAGTTGGAACAAACATGATTGCTGTAAAAAATTTAATAAAACCAATTAATCCAACAAAAGGATCAATCAATCAATGAACTAAATAGAAAAATGTATTTTGAAATGTTCTGTTACTACTGTTACTATTAAATCTATTCAATTGTTTAGCAAAATATTTCAAATATGCCATTTGATATTTGACAATTGGATTTAGATATGTTCAAAAATTGTGTTCATAACTGAGAATTGTAAATAGTTCTCTTTTCAGTTGTCACAATTGAATATAAAAAACGGAGCAGATCTGCTTCTGCACAGAAAACCTTTTCATAGAATAATGTTTACTTACATACAGGGTGGTCTATTAGTGTGAGGAAGTACAGTATCTCGCCTATAATAGCAAGTATGTTCAGATAAAAGTTATTTGGTTCACTTTGTTACATATTATGAAAATATTTTGGAATATACAGAGTATTCTTTTAAAGCGGGGCAATACAAATCATCATTTAGTTGAAAGGACCCCCTGTAGATTTTTACACCGTTGAACTGAGCAAAATGTTTTACATTGCGGTGTTGTCGAATTGTTGCTGGAAGACAGAAAATCTTTGGTAAAACAGAAAACAAATGCAACCATGAAAAATTTATGGATAGAATTTAAGCAGAATTATTCAAGACATGCAACACTAAGAGTGGGTTGAAATGTTGGTATGTATTGAAAGTTTAATTTCTCAAACAGGAGATTTTATACAGAGCCAATAACTTGTCAAACTTCGAATATCAAAAACATGATTTTTTTAAAATAAAATACCCAGTATGTTATGTCACCATTTTCTAGAACGATTGTATTCCTACAAATTTGGATGAGATGAAATAGTCTTTGAAACTGATCGTTTTTGTGAAATTCAAAATTCAATTTTCAATTTGTTAAAAATTGTGTTTCTATTTACGTATAGGCCACCTAGGATTTCAACACTTAACACTGTTATTGGAAATTAACATCATTGCAATTTCAAACTTAAAACTGAAAATCGGTTGGGAAATGTCTGGAAAACATGTTTTCGTTGAAGTATTCGGGACCAGGGAGCCGAGTGGTTAGAAATATCGCTTTTCAATCATTCTATCGACTGCAGAATCTTTTAGCGACTGCAGAATCTTTTTTATGAGAGAAAGTGCTAGGAATCGCACGTTGAAACGGAATACCTCGTTAATCCTTGGCTCGCACAAGTTTCGACTCCTGAGGACTGCCCGTTCATAAGGAGCAGCTGGTATACGGAAAAAACTTTTTTTTTCATTTTTCAATTTATGAGAGTAAATAATTGAAACTATAACAAAAAAAATATATAAATTCATAACAACTGCTCAAAGTGACTATCGGCTCCTTCCAAGTAATAATGTTTTGGNAAAGTGACTATCGGCTCCTTCCAAGTAATGATGTTAAGGTTTTTGAATTTTTCATCAACTCGCCTCAACATGCTGACTGGAATATTTTGGAATATGTCCTTAATTCTTCTTTTCATATCCCCCTTTGTGAATGGGGGTGTCCTATGAACTTGATCCTCAACATAGCCCCACATAAACAATTCCCTTTTGTCAAATTTGGTGAGCGAGGTGGCCACTTAAAAGGCCTCTTCTACCGATCAATCTTCTGGGAAATGTAGTGTCTAAATAACTATTGACGGGAACATGTGATGCACTGTTTGGAACCTTGGAGTAGTAACGAACTGAATATTTTTTCCAACACCAAACCGTTATTTTAACACCTCGGTACGTGTTTAGATCACCAAGTGATCATCTTCAAGAGGAAGATTGAACTCAGCCTAATTTTTGTTGCGTACTTATGGTACAAGAGACATAACATCCTTTGTGTAATAATCGCATGATGCAACTTCCTTATAACATATAGAAATGATCTTCAACCTCCTAAATATTTTTTAAAGTTGGGAGTATCCATAACATAGTACAGGTTAGTCAGAATGAGACCGACAAACTCCGTTTTATTATTTGTTTTATCATTTGAACGAATCGATTTCGTAAATTCACCGATATGTGACCATCCATTTTTGCATAATGATTATTTTGACAAACCCAGCCTCAAATTTCAATACTACGGTTGAATGAGAGTCCAAAATAATACTTGCGAAAAACTGAATAGGTACTGAGTTTGTTAAATTTAATGTTGGAGTATCATTATTAAAGTCATTTCATCAGGATTAAAAAATAAATAAAGTACCATTCTGATCATTCCCATATTGATTTCAATTCAAGAGCCACCGGTAGATAGCTGTTTCGACCTGTTGGGCATCGTCATATGGTATACCTCAGTTCAATCTAAGGAGCTCATTGGAAATATTTATCAATTCTCTATAAAATGTATTCAACGTTTATNCCCTCTATCTGAATATAATTGAAATGCCACAAAAATAACAAATGAAAATATTGATGAAGATTCTACAGTTCATTTTCATCTTTGTTTTAGAGTCTAGATTTTGCACTAGTTTTCCTGAGATATTCTTCAATATTTTATTTTTTCAAAAAAAAAATTCCCCAAAGACCTTTTGCGGTTCTGGCAAAATAAGAAGTTTTTAGACTCGATTATTCGTTTTTGGTGTAAGGCCCAAGGTTTGACGAAAAAACTAATGTTTACTTCTAATTTGTGTGTTATAGTCTCCTCACAAAACGTGATCAACTCTGTTTTCCCAAGAAATGGTTTAGAATGTTCAGATACAGTACATTCCATTCAAAACGAGTCACCCTAAATGAATCTTGGTACAATGATTTCCAGGAAAAATTGAAAAATATTTCAAGAATTGTATCCAGGGAGAAATATTTTGACATCGCACCCCTAGAGCATGTTACTAATTTTTATAAATGGATTATCCCATATTGTTTCGCATTATCAGATGCTCCATAGTAAGCAAATTTCAACAAAGTATAAAATATATGGTCTGAAGCTCATGGTTCGAGAGCCACAAATTAGTTGAGTTGAAAACGAGCCACCCTGAATAACTTTTGAAACAATGATTTGCAGAAAAAATAAAAAAACAGGTCAACAATTATACAGGAGGCCACATTTTGGAATATCTCATACGCTTTAGACTTCAGATGATCCCATAGAAAGAAATCTACAGGAGTGAGATCCGGAGACCTCTGTGGCCATTCTGTAGGACCTCTTCAGCCATCCAGAGACCAGGAAAACGATCATCCAAAAATGGTGGCACTGGAGCTGCATAATCGATAAAAAAGAGACTATGATGTGGTCACCTGAAATTCTTGCCAAAACATTCAGTTTTTGAGGTCGTTTGGTAACTTCATTTTATAAATTTCCTTCTCTTCGGGGATTTTTTCAATTTCTCAATTCTTCATAGTGAAATTGATTATTACTACAGCATTCAAATTTTTTGTTCCATTCATTCACATTCAGAAGAGGCGTTTGAAACAATGATTTGCAGAAAAAATAAAAAAACAGGTCAACAATTATAAAGGAGGCAACATTTTGAAATATTTGTTCTAGAGACAAATATGTAAGCAATAAATAAGAAAAAGAGATTTTTGATGATTAATTCTTGAATCAAAATTTGATGACTGGACAATGAGAAGAAAAAAAAATTCTATAGTGAATGTTCAGAAACGTTTCCACCAACTTCCATACAATGGTACAAAGTAGTTTCCATTGCCGCCCTCACATGGTTGAGAATCTCGGGAATTATTTCTCTGCAATGCCTCATGATATTCTCTCTCAAATCTTCTATTGCTGTTGATTTTATCTCATACGATTTAGACTTCAGATGACCCCATAGAAAGAAATCTACAGGAGTGAGATCCGGAGACCTTGGTGGCCATTCTGTAAGACCTCTTCTGCCATCCAGAGACTAGGAAAACGATCATCCAAAAATGGTGGCACTGGAGTTGCATAAACGATAAAATAAAGAGCCTATGATGTATTCACCTACAGTAAAATATGATGTAGTCACCTTGCTCAAACATTCAGTTTTTGAGGCCGTTGTGTAAGAACTTGACGATATAAATGAGGATACGTATCACTCTAATATCGACGATTTTGACGATCCATCTCTCCATTCGAACTAAACGTACATTCATCCGAAAAACGAAATTCTGATGCAAGTTGATCCATTCAGTAAGACTTTCACAAAACTCGATACGTCTAACGGAATCATTTTCGTTCAATTCATGAACTAGTCTAATCTTATATGGATGAAATTTGTACTTATGAAGACTCCTGAAAATAGATGTATGACTGATTCCTGATTCTCAAGATAACTTAGTGAGAGGCTGTGAATTTTCCATGAATCCAACGTACCCTAGAACTGCAGTACAAATAGCTTCATGGTTGACAACTCCTAAACGGTTATGCTTTTTATTGTTAACAGTTTCCATACGAAACGAAACGTATTTGGGTCTTACATTTCTTCCTGGATGATATTCAGCAGCTCTAGCACTATTTTCATTCTGGTGTAAGCGTATAAACCATTGCTTTTCAAGAATTCACAAAACCAGGAACACTAGTTGTAACTTCACCTGGTAGGTGATCGTTATTATAGAATGCGATAAATATAAAATGAAGAGAATATCGAATTCAAACTTAACTAGGCAAAATAAGACTTTTTTTGAAGTGTACTTCACAAAAACACCTATGAAACCAAATAATTTCTAGCTTCCAAACTATGAGCTTCAGACCATAATGTATTCTACTTTGTTGAAATCCGTTCATCATGGAACATTTGATAATGCAATACAATTCCATTAAAAAAATGGTGAGATGCTCTGGGGGTGCGTTAAAGAAAGTTAGATCAAATCTGAATATGTCAAAATGTGTCCCCCTGTATACTATTGTTGAGGTGTTTCTTGATTTTTCATGAAAACCATTGTTTCAAAAGTTATTCAGGGAGGCTTATTTTCAACTCAAATAATTTGTAGCTCCCGAACCATAAGCTTCAGACCATATGTTGTTGAAGTCTGCTCATCATGGAGCATCTGATAATGCGAAACAATTTAGGGTGATCCTTTTGAAAAATATTGATGACATGCTCTAGGGGTGCGATAGGGGAAGTAACATCAAATGTAAATATTTCAAAATGTGTCCCCATGTATACCATGTATTTTTTTATTTTTCCTGCAAATCATTGTACAAGAAGTTATTCAGCGTGGCTCATTTCAAATGGAATGCACTATATATGAAAATATGTGAGCAGTTGAGAGACAAGACAGTTTGATTTCTGTAAGCTACCCTTATGTTGAGCTTTCAATTGATCTGAATCAATTCCATAACGAATGTTTGGAGAACAAACTGAATAACACGTGACCAAGAGGTACATGTACTCCAGTCAAGAATACCATATCGCAGATGACAGTTGATGTTTGCATAATAAACGATTAATAGTATGTTTTCGTGACAATGATTTGATAAGAACNCGCTGAGGAAATCTTTCATGGTGAATGCGTCTTGCAGCATTCGAGTTTCCGTGAGCCATTCCATAACAGAAATGTATATCTGCCATTTCACTGTTGGTAAATTGAACCATGTTTTACAAAAGTGGTTCGAAAAATAACCACTAAAGACACTTTTTATAACAATTATAAATTAAAAGCTTAAAAAGTTGACAACAACTGTCAAGTTGTTTATTGAATGCTGCAATCGTTCTCCAAGGCAACCCTTGATTATTATTTATTGTATTTTCAGAACAGTGCGAAATTCAATGATGCGGCGAAAGAGGCCATTTCCAAAACTTAATTTAGTGCAATTCGTTAGTCTAGATGTTAATGTTATTGTAGATGTTAATTTTATTGTTACATAATCAGTAATGAAAAATTGTAAAAATAATAATTTCCTAAAGAAACGTTTAATTCCCCATATTATTCCTTGTGAGGTCCAGGGATATGCAATTAGGTCGACTTTTTTTTCTTAAAAACTAAGCAAGATACGAAAAAAATTCAAGAGACAAAAAAGTTGTATTACTGATTGCTTAATCCAAAGATATAATGAGAATTGCACAAAAGTCAGTGGCGTACATTTTTAAGTAAAAAATATTCGTTCAAATCAGGCTTGAGACGCCACTGGAGTCAATAAATTGAATCACGTTAGGGCTAAATTAGCTACTTAATGTTATGAATACTATCGCCGAATTACAACAAAATTGGGTGAAGAATATTTGAGATATTCACGAATAACTTTTTATTTTAATTTTAACACCGTGTATCTTGGGAACGAAGGATTTGCGGACCCATGTTTATATGAACATTTCGTCTTAAAATTACCTAAAGAATCGTCTATTGAATTTATGGTACATACTTAATTAACACCTTGTATTATTTTATTGCGTTCTGGCGCTTGATGTGGATGCCATCACACCTATCTTTTGATTTTACGAGGAAAAAGAAAAGTTGTTTGAGTGATATGAATTCGATGATCTCTTGACTGATGAAATTAGAAACACTGGTGTAGAATAAATATATTGAAAATACTTTTCCCTCACCAGAACAAACGTATTTACCCTCAATTCAGGATTCACTGACAAATGTTATCATAATCAAGAATTGACTATGTTTCTTATTATGTGAGGTGATGGCTTCTTCTGATGTATAAGTATAGAAGCTTGAGAATAAGTGTAAGCATAGATAGATTAGAGCGTGCATTTTTGAGGTTTTCCGTGATTTACCTCAGCTGCACGTTTTATTCTAGGACAGGACACAAGCACTGCAGGAAAATCATTGAGCAGTGCCTGTGCGAAAACAGCGATTCACGTTGGATTGAGATTGGAGATTGAGTTCATTCGAAAAAACGTTCTCAGGAAGTTTATTCCACATGAACACAGGTCTTCAAACTAAAGAGTTATTCGATATTGTGGATATTGTCACCGAAAATGAAAATTTCGGCAATAGGATGAATAATTGGCAGAAAGTCACTGGTGTTTGCAAGTAAAAAGTATAGTGCCATTGTGTATCGCTTGGTGATCGATGAACGCAGCCCATCAATTCAGTGGTCTACTGTGATATTATTTTAAACCACATAATATCAACAACACATGACAAGAGAAATCGCTTCAGATAAATAGTATATTGTACAAGTGAGAAAAACGACATATTTCTCACGAGTTCTCAGAGAGCTCGCAAATCAAGCGAGTGAGAAATATGTCATTCTCTCACGTATTATACACTGCACTTTTTCTACGGTTGCGTTGTTTTCAAGTATTGAAAATTAGATTACACATAATAATACTTGTATGCCATTCACTCATTTTTATATTTTATTCAAAATAGTAATTAACAGTTATATCTGAATAGTTTTGTAAAATAATTCCAGGTAAGTCGTTTTGTTTCAACATGTTTTCAGTAATTGAAATATTAGCTGCGATCGAAGTTGAAGTTGATGGGGCCGAATTAAGATCTTCCGTGTTATCAGTTTTTAATTTTCGAAGTTCATCACAACGGCATGCCCCTGTAAGTGTAATAGCTCAAGCAGCCTGAAATCAAAACCAAACATTCAATTTTCGATAACAATTTAAAAATTTTCAATTCATACCTTTATCAGCAAATACTTTTCATCAGGTGCATCTTTTAAAAATTGTTGAATTTCTTCAGAAGTTAATGTTTTTGACTGTTTTGGAGTATATCAACACAGTTTTTAATAATTAAGGTACTCCTCAGCATCGAGTACTGAGATCATAATGTTGATGATGATGTTCAATCTTCTTGACAACTCTTCAAAATAAACTAACAAGGTATTTTCGGAATAAAAATTTACCTTGGCTTTCATTTTCCAGTCTATAAAGTTTCTGTAAGCGATTTCATATTTTTCTCTTGATGTGCTAGGTAGCAAATTATTGCAAACATCTATTGGTTTTCTGAACAATTTCTGGAGGTGCATTTTCCAACTCTAAATCTCCGTAGCCCATTATATTCAATATTTAATGAATCTTAACTGTATAGACTGTATCAATCAACAATAAAACTATTTTCGTTCGGTAAGTTGACAGCAATAATTATGCAGTGCTTCGGTTTTGTTGTTATGGAAATGCCGACAATGGGCTACTTGGATATTGCACGTGAATCGTCGACGTAGCGTTGTCAACAGGGAGAACGTGTCATATGTGTCATGACTGACTTGGGTTATCGTGATAACAGTGAGAAATCATTTCGCACTGTAATGGCGAATATTTCTCACTGCGTGAGAAATCTTCCGTTTTGAACATATAAAAGCGATAAGAGAAGTGGCACATTGTATAGCATCCATAGAAAAAGGATATATTCCAAAGTTACTTCAGAATCGGGAGTGGAAATCATAACCAATATATAGACAATTGCCGGGGTTTGTTAAAGCACTGACTTTGGTTTCTGTGAGTGCAAGAATATGAAGACTATTTGTTTGCAGAAGTTGGTGCACTGAGTTTACAATTGAGTTGAGTCCTCTGTTGTTGCCGAATTCGATTTTGAAGTTGCTACTGGGCCCCTTGGCAACTCTAGATGCCATGCTAATCTTTGGACTGATGTTGGAGAGATCCTGCTGCCTGTCAGAAATAGTGGTTATGAGCCTCACCACTTTGCTTTTGAAATGTAGTTTTTTTAGAGTAGTGTCAAGGCCACCATGTTTCTAAGAATATTGAGAAATAACATATGGGACTGATTTTCATTTGAAAAATATTCATTCATATATTTTCTTATGTACGTAAAATTTGTCCTACAAAATGAGTATTTCGAAATAAAGTTTCGAAATATTCATCTCTCCCAACTATCTACATCATAGATTCCCTCAAAAGTTTGCAGGAAAACAACTACTTCGCTGGCTAAATCTAAGCTGTGTTACGTTTCAATCTAGCACTAGATCAATACTGCTCCTATGTGACCTTTCAAAACACTACGGTACCTTCTAAGATCTTTATTCAACGGATATTAACAATGTAATTAAGTTACAAGTAGATTTTATTCATTTAACATCATAGTAATGGGAATCTTCCGTTCCATAGGAAACCATACCTGAAATGTACAAGAATAAATGTATGCTCCCTGACTAACTGCTTTGACCAGTACTTACGCATTCTCCTATTGCCAATCGACGTTGGAGATCCGAAATTTCTCGCTAGGTTGAAATAGTTGTTATTGTTTGATTCTCAGTTTACTTCGCCTATCATTTTTCAGCCGTTGTCTGCCTTATTCTCTATACCTTCCCAAGAATATTTCTTGCATAGATTGTTATTCATCACTTCCAAAAGGATTACTACATATTAGAGTCATATCGCCTGAAAAACAATACTAGTTAGCTCTGGTTTCTGAATACTATTTGATATTTTCGATAAATATTCTGCATAATATGAATGTTCAAATATTCGTACTGAATGGGAAAGATGTGACGACTTACCTTATATGTTTCTATTCCATCGCATGAATAAGGATTGGTAAATAGTTGAAAATAGGTTGGAACAATATTTTTGGAAACATTTGTAAACAAGGTTAAGAGACAGCTGTTGGTTGACATCTGCCGAACTTTCGTAGTGTCGTTCCGTCGACTTACACCGAACTAGTTCTACAGTTGTTCACGGGTGAGGGATTGATCGGCTACTCAAGTTGTCAAGGGTTGTTTTAGGGTTGCATTGCTTTGAGAAGGAGTTTTGATGGGTCATGGACTTGTTGATATTGTCTCAAGTGGCTGTGGAGGAATTGATTGATGTATGATGTTGTGCACAGCGCCCCCTTGGTGCTTGTAGTGTAGATTGGACGCACTGTGGCAACAACTGGTTAGCTGTCAGATGTGGCAGTGTCTTAGTATTCGGAAGTTAGCCTTCGATGAGCTTGGTTCGGAGTTCAACGTACCATCAGACTGATTGTAGGATATATTTGGTTGTATTTGTGCCATCCTTCACGGGGATTATTTCTACAAGTCAGGATTGTATAGTGGAAGACTGATTGGTCATTTTGGTGTGGATATTTGCAGTCTGAAACTTAATCTCTTTTGAGGATTTGTGGTGGTTACCGAACTCGTGCCAGGTGGAAGGATTTCCGAAATTAGGTATGTCTGAATCACTGTCGCATCTCTCATGTGGTCTTAGCTATGATATCACCTCTTCAATTCTACAACCTTCGTTTCTCGTCTCTAGATTCATAAGAAACAGAAGGCCCTCAGTCACTCATCAAGTCCGAGTAGGACTTCCGTGCAGAGCACCGCACACGAAGAAACGTATAGAAAACCCCTTGGCCAGGGTAAGAATTTCACCATTAAATGTGTTATAAATGATTTTAGTAATATTTGCTCCCAGCGTTGTCATTCAAGTGAATATTAGTTTTGAAGAGAGGTTTCAACACTCATTCAATTTTCTTGATTTTTTTACGGGTTATGTGGTTATACAGGGCACCCAAAAATATACTCTTGTTATCTTGCTACTTTTGCTACTTTGCTTAATGGAAATATACCAGGGGTATTGATTAGTCAAATAGTCCCTATTGAATGGGGGTTGAATCTCGCCTTGTTTTTATCTGATTCTGATTGAGAATTTTCTTCCGTAGGGTTTTTTCTTCTTCTTTCCTTTTTTTTTCCTGTTCTCCTGTTTTCCTGTCTTCCTGTTTTCCAACAGATGATTTAGTCTCCTCTTGTGGTTTGTGAGGTGACAAGTGGAACTGGTGAAACTGGATAGTAAGAACGAGGAAAATTGAAAAAAAAATTAAAATCGGCTGATTTTACTGATTCATATCCTACATGCACTTATGCAACATACATTACAGAGTTCACCATCGTAGATGTTTCTCGTTCATCCAGCAGCAGGACCATGCTGAAATTATTCAAGTAGATCACCTGCTGACCCCGTTTTCGAGGTATTACCTGGGACTATAATAATTTCAACGCGGCTCCACTGCATGTAGAAACCTTTGTCTAAGAGGAATATTGTCAATTAGTAAAAGCTCCTTTTCGTGAACAAAGCCCCAAGTGTGGAAGAAACATCCCATGTACCAATACTCTAACAGAGATCAAATCGTGTCTAAAGACTGTATCGGGGAGAGATACATACGTACTAGAAGATGAATGTTTGGAAATAAGATCTTGAAACAATAATCTCTCCCAACTACCCACACCGTAGGTTCTGGTAAATGCCTGCCGGTAGGCAGGCATATACATACCAACATAGGAATTTCTAACCAGCGTGTTGATGTGTATTTTTCGTTCAGAAATTTTCTTGAAAATTTCAGCCAACAGGAGAGTAGTGGGTTTCTCTATACAGGATGAACACATGAATACTATGATGAATACCTTTTTAAATACATTGAAAAAACAGAAACTCCAGATGGAAGTACTTCGTAGATTAAAGCAACATTTTTAATACTGATCATCGATTATATGATTGTTTCATTGTTTTTAGAAGATATAAGGTAAAGTAGAGCACTGATAACAGAAAATATTTATTTAATGAAATGACACTGAAATTTCAATTGAGTTTCAAATAACTGATCATTGAAACCAATCAGCTTTGATTATATCTGCAGCTTTTTCTCCAATTGCATATGCTGGAGCAGCAGCATGAGCCGTTAAAGGAAGAGGTATAACACTTGTATCTACCACACGTAATTGTTTCAGGTCATGAACTCTCAAATGGGAATCTACCACAGTATCTCCATTATTTTTAGGTCCCATCTTACAAGCACCAACATAATGAAAAACGCCTCCGATAACGGTTCTCAGATAACATTCCCAATACTCGTCGCTATTGAACTGGTAGTCTTCACAACCTGAAAATGAAACATGATTTGAAAAGAAGTAAATTGAAATAGTCTTCTTTGTTTCATACAGGCCGTTTCTTTTATCATGTGGTAACATTGCTATATTCTAAACCGTAACAGATACGAAGACGATTAAAAAGGAAAAAAGGTAACTGTCATCGGGAACAATACAATGGTCGAAGAAAATTTACGAGGACTCTCGCCCTTCTCGAGTTATACGGGGAAAACCAAAAATGATGTTTTCCGTTTTATTCAAATGGAATTCTTATTTCGGAAAATATCAAAAAATGTAAAAAAATTGTATATGTCTTTGAAGTGTACTATTACAATGTATTAATAAATATTCGATGAAACGTTTCGTGTTAACATGGCCACCATCAACTTTTTTTTTAAAATAGGAACCTGTCTTTTTCAGTACAGATATTGATAAAGCCATGAATTCACAATCCAAGGGTATATCACGTTCCTTCTTCAAAATGTCATTAAGACAACCCAATAAATTCGACAGGTAGGTACTCTAATGCAATGAAAATTCGTACTTTTTCGTTTTGGAAATTTTTTTATTGCCATAATCCTTCAATTATAATTCGTGAAATTTTTATAATTTCCAATCATGTTAGTAACGAAAATATCAGTTTTTGGTCAAAATTCGATTGTTGTATAATTTGGTATGATCAATTCATTTACCTCCTTAAACGCGTAAGCTTTGCTTGGTTTCTATGGTAGGAAAAATAACTGCGTTGTTGATATCTGTGATATGCTATTTAGTTATGCAAAATCAAATAGAAATCCTCTTTCGGAAAGGAATATGTATGTTGAGCTATACCTGAATGGTCGTATTCCGAACATCCAAATGTTAAGAGGATTAGAGAGAAATTTGAGGGACCATGGTGCATTTGACAGGAAGAAAACAAGAAAATGTGCGGTAACTGGAAGTGTGAGGAATCAAATAATTGTTAAGGGTAAGCAAATATTACTATTTGAAAATTCACACTGAAAACTTTTTTTCATTTATGATTGGCGAGTTACAAAAAAATTGTGCTAATCAAGATTGCTCTTTACGAGAAATTGCACACGAAAAGAGAATTTCTATAAAATCCACCAGAACTTTTTTGAAAAAGAAGAAATATAAATGCTCAAGAATACAAAAAGTTCTTCACCCCAATGAAAGGGATAACGAAAAAAGAGTACGATTTGCTAACTAGTTGAGACGTAGAAATAGAAAAGTTGAAAATAATATGAACGTACGAATCAAAATTCACTATCAATGGTTGGTTTAACAGAAATATCCATTATAGGTGAAATAATACAAATCAACATTTACATTGGAAAACCAATTCCCAAGAAAGTTTCGGAATAAATGTTTTCATTCGAAAGATGAAATGAATCTTCATTTTTTATTCAATAAATTCGATGGCTACTTAGATTAATTGCCACTGGATATCTGCCATGAAATACAGTATTTTCAACAGGACGACGCTCCTTTCCATAATGCAGCAATGGTAAAGAAACATTCAGGTGCAATATTTCCAAGAAAGTGAATTGGTAACAATAGAGCAATTAACTGGCCAGCTCGATCCCCAGATCTTACTCTTTCAGATTTTTTGTCTTGGGATACATGAAGGATAAAGTTTTTTCAACACCAAGTACAGATATCGACCATCTGAACCAAAAAATAAGAGATGTATCAGTATTACACCTATTATGCTAGAAAATTGCCACAGAAATTGTCTGGACCGACAACTCATGTGCATTCAAGAGGTCGTCAATTCGAGCATTTGATGTAAATTGCCATGTATCTTTGATTTTCCATATTGGTTTCATTTTCCCAAAAGTTCATAATGAAATAAATTGTATTTCTTTCTGTTTGTTGTCACTGATGATGGTGGTTATTTCAAATGAAACGCTATGAAAATATCAAATGTGATATACCCTGGATTGTGAATTTATTGCTTTATCAATATCTGCAACAAAAAAGATAGGTCCGTATTTAAAAAAAGTTGATGGTGGCAATTTTGACACGAAACGTATTATCGAATATTTATTATTACATCGTCATAGTATACTTCGAATATAATAACATTTGCCTTTTCCATTTTTTGATATTCTCCGCAATAATAATTCCATTCAAAAAAAAGGAAAAACAGCATTTTTGGTTTTCCCCGTATAACTCGAGAAGAGCGAGTCTCCGTAAATTTTCTTCGACCATTGTATTGTTCCTGATGACAATTCCTTTTTTTCCCATTTAATCGTCTCCGTATCTGTTACGGTTTAGAATATAGCAATGTTACCACATGATAAAAGACACGGCCTGTTTAAGGTTCGTTCAAAATTATGAAACTCAGCTGAAATGAAAAAGAACATAAACTGGCAGCTTATGATTCTCTACTTGATTTTGGAGATATTGATCATGGTTAACATATTTCTGGGAAATTGTGGCATACTACGCAGCAAGGGGATGACTTCGTATAATATTACCACATCGCAGTAAGTGTATGCCGTAATTGCTTACAAAACATCAGAGTCCATACGTTTTCAGGCTGCTCTAAAAACATCATATGCTTCATTACTGGCCTAGAAACCCCATACAACTCTAGGCTGGCTCAGATACCCCATACGATTTCTGGTTGGCCGACTCAGGAGAATGAAAATTAGCTTTCTGATTACCCAAGATTTCACGTGATATCGGGAAAAATGATGCTATGATATCGAAAGTTATTGTAGCATGATTGCGGCAACATGGACGGAGATGTGGATAATGTATATTTGGCCTGACATATATTGGAGAAAAAGAAGTCATAGTTGGTGCAAGGTGCAAGAGGAAGAATGAACTCTGTTCAGTCTTATATGCCATTGACAAATTTGTATTTTTCCTCTGTATTCTATAATGTTATTTCTGATGTCAATAAATCCATTCATTATTATTTTTTTTTAAACCAGAGTATGCGCTGGTCAGGCCCTATCCCCCAAAGCCCCGATACGTTCGGGAGGGCGCGCCAGCATTATCAACCAATGATCACTTACCCCACACCGTGGGGTAAGTGATCATTGGGTCCGAGAATCATGTGCCCTGAGCAAGCACAGTGATTCAAGAATGACAGTCTTCTGCATCTGTCCGGCTAACATTTCTGCCTTAGTGCGGCAGGCCGGTATGATTTCAAGATTCGAGAGTAGAGAGGGCATCATTCCACCAAGAACTTCAATAATCAGAACAACCATCTTGACAAAGTGGTCTGGATAGGGTCTGAAGAGTTCGAAGAGAAAATCTCGATACTTTATCGTTTTTCCTTCTCTTTTTGGACGATATTAGTCTCGTCAGGAGCTGAAAACTCAACGACAAATATCGTCTTGCTCTGGTGGTCGAGAAAGACTACATCAGGCGTATTAGATTATATGAGCCTGAGGGTGGGGAACGAATAGTTCCAATAAATTCGGTACTTGTCGTTCTCCACAACGAATTCAATATCCCCTGGAGCGTAGGGCAATACCGATGTCTCTTCAATACCGTAAGGGTGTCGTAGATGGTAATATAGAACTCTTAGGGCCGCTTCATGTCGATGGATATAGGCCGAGACCGCACATGCTGGACATGCTGATAGCAAGTGCATTAGGGTTTTGGGTGCCTAGCGGCAGACCCTGCACCTTGTGTTAGGAACCTCTATATCCATCACGCGACTGGCAAGCCATGATGAACCCCTCAGTTTCCGACTTCAGTCCACTCGACCTGAGGAAAGCAAAAATCAGGCGCCAAGGTCTCCAATGTTATTGAAGAAGACCGCATTGGCCCATCCTAGTGTTTCCGCAGAAATGAGGTGATCTATGCGGCTTTCATATGAGATTTTTTCTGAACGGGTTCCAACACGGTGACAGAGTTGTGGTCACCTCGTTCCCTGTCGAAAACTAAACCAAGTTCATCAGCTGCTCGGCAGCTGCCCTAAAAAGGAGGACTCCAATTCTCCAAACTCCTATAGATATGCTTCATTTCTCGGGTCTTTACCTCGAGTAGATACAGCTTCTCCCGAGTCCACTTCACTTCTCCAAACGAGTAGAGTAAGATTTGAACGCCAAGCATATTTGTTGCAGCAACTTTGTCCTTTCTCGACAGTTCCGATGACCAGATCTGTCGAAGTTGGTGCTGATACTTGCCGCGGAGATAATTTTTCACTGGTATTACCTCTTGTGAGTGGCGTTGTTCCACCCCGAGATAAGTATACGTCTCTCCGGCATCCAAATGGTGTAGGATGCTTCCATTTACGAGCTGCACATCCTCTCCGTAGTCCCCGCATCGTCCTCTTTTGAGATGGATCAATTCAGCGATAGCATGCGTGTACTCTTTCAACACTCTCATGGACTGATGAAGATCCTTCTTCCCAGAGGTATGAAGTTTAAGATCATCCATATAAAACAAATGGGTGACCTTCTGCCTCCGGTTTTCGGGGGTGCCACAATTATATCATTGAGTATTTCTGAGCGCAACGGATATTGACAATAGTGATGCAGAAGAGGAGAGGGCTGAGGAAATCGCCCTGAAATACATCCCTTCTGAAAGTGACCCACCCTGTTTGGACTCTTGCTTGACCAGATGTTTTATTGAAGTGAGTTCGCCAAAGTAGTATCAGTTGTTCAATGCATCTCACTATTTTGTGGGGTACTGAAAGGCATCTGAGCAAATGCAAGATAAGCTCGTGCGATATTGTTTCAAATGCCTTACGGTAATCGATCTAGGCCATAGGGAGGTTACGCTTATATTGTATTATATTATTATCATTATTATTAGTTGGAGTATTATCGGTTACCTTGAGGGTGGAAGTGAATTGAGGTAATGTTTATGTTGGAATCAATCTTTTTCAGCAGCCTTAACCAATTTATCGAAAGCATAAGATTGAGTAAATTGTGGGTCAGAAAGATTAACTGATCAGATTTGTGTATTCAATATTCCATACACTCACCAGGTATTTTGGTATCAACTAGTTTGGCTCCGTATCTTTGCATCGACGGACTGTCGCTGATCCTTTGAATTTCTCTTATTCCTGCTATGAAAGTCTTAACATCTTGATTCTCAGGATCCGATAGATAGTTTGCAAAGTATTTGGGTGGATCTAAAGGATCCTTTGATTTTAATTCCATGTATCCTATAGATTTTGGATGAAGCAACATAGGGAAAACCTGTACAATGAAAGCGAATTTTCATTAAGATGAATAGAAACTGAATTTATTGTAGATAGTTGTCGAGGTATTCATGTTTACAACTACTTTCATAGTATTGTTGATGACTGCTAGTAATAATGAATCAAAGTCATTTTTTCAATTGGTCCAAACCGACATTGATATGATATATCTAATTCTACACTAATCCAGTTTTTGATGAGTTGGATGATCTTTCAACTGATGACAGTAGATATTATATCGAATCAAATTTCTTTCAGTTAATATGGAGTTTTGGGCATCAGTTATCCGACTTTTGTCACCTTTCTCACAAAAAGCAGGAGTGATATATATCCCAAAATTAATTTCAACTGGTCTTCAATTTTGTTTGTTCTGGATATTCAGACGTTTCACTTCGTCTGAAATGACCCTCCCAATACTGACGAGAAGCTAGTACTCCGAAACCGGTTTATCGGTGGTCGTCCCGACCAAATGAAGTCAATTTAAGCTTTTTTTATATATAGGAAGTTACTTGAGGTGCCTGATGGTTTTACTTGAGCTTTCTGTGTTCGGAAAGGTTTCCGCGGTCACAAATATCATAGTTTGAAGTTCGCATTTTGTGTTTTATTGTCAACTGTCGGTCCATAGGTTCTGGTCTGGTATTTATGTCACTGGATGAGTGGTGAACGGGACCGGAGGTGGGGGCGATGGTGTAGTTAGTGATGTTTACTTTAACATTTTCATTTATTTTGCCAACCACGTCTGAGAGCTACATTGAAATGTTTTTTGTTCATTCATTTCGTTAGTTGACTCACGAATGAGCCAGTTTTTGTTAGAAAACTACATCAGTTTCTTATCAGCTGCCACTGAATAGTGGACTGATTTTTCAAACAGGGTCGCACTCCTCAGGAGGAAGTGATGCTAGTTATTCTATTGAATCAATCTAAAACATGAATAAAGTCGACATGGCGAGTACTTCTGACTACAGGGGATATACATAATGAAAACTCATCAAATTTCTCAAACCAGTCTTACTCCAAAGTAGTACGAACATTCAAATATCCATCGAAGGAATAAATCATCATATTTGCCGCTATTGAAGGAGTGAAAATCCAGGAATATTTAATCGCTCTTGGAAAAGTTCAACCTAATATTATTTTCTCATCTAAAATTTCGAACAATCGAGTTTGCATCTACCTCTCTAGCCAGACAATCGTGGATACATTTCTTAAAGAAGGAGGAGAAATTGAAATCAACCGTTAAATACTGAAATCCCGCCGCGCAACTACACCATCTACTCGATTAATCCTTTCTAAAGTAAGTCCAACAATACCTCACAACATTATAGAACACAGCCTCAGAGATCTAGGATTAATTGTAATATCACTCATGACATTTCTTCGCATTGTAATATCCCAACCTGAATACACCCATTTATTGAGTTTCCGCAGACAAGTCTTCATAGAACTTGTTCTGAATAATACTTTTCATCTTCCCGAATCCTTTATCTTATCATATGATAACACCCCCTACCGTATCTACCTTTCTGATGATAAACCCATCTGCTATAAATGTAAGAAAAATGGCCATATCGCTGCTAATTGTCAAGAAACTGTTACCGAGACTATTGTAGATATTGTTCAAGAATCACTCAAAAATCCAGCCTCTCAAACCTAAGAAATTTCTTCAACTATTACTGATCCTTTGGTCAACATTGTCCAAGAAAAATCAGTTGAAAATTCAGCCCCAAAAAAGGAAGAGATTACTATTATAATAAATACCAACTCGCAAAAAAGAACCCATTCAGAGATCAGTACACCGATACAAAATACTGAAGAACTGGAGCTTCCTTTTGTTATTCCCAGTTCACAGACTAAGAAGAAAACGAAGACAACACAGGCCTAAATACACTCCAATTGAGACCCTGGTTGCTCCAGCCAAACAACTTTTTCAAGATGAGCCATCTAAGTATCCTCTCGACTACAGCCAAATTGTGAGTTTTCTAGAGGATTCGTTTTGTTCACCAGACCCCCTCAGCGTGGCCTGCAGGTATACAGAGGAAATTCGCATACTCCTAGGTATACTCACTAAAATATATCCGACTCTTACTGAACGTAGCATCAAATCCAGAATCACAAAATTGAAAAGGAAAATAATTAAGCAGCTCCAAAAAGAACTCGAAACTGGCTCTAACATCTCAGTGCCCGGCAGCGAAAGTGACATATCTCTCTAGATACATTTTAGAATATCCTAATACCATAAAAACTACTCAACATCATTCATATTGCAATGAAATATAAACGGAGTATTTTCACATCTGGAAATGCTTCAAGTGTTAATAAATGAAGAGGAACCCCCAGTTATATGTCTTCAGGAAACCAACTTCACTGAAAAATGTAGATACAATTTGAAACACTATAACTCCGTTCACAAAACTAGAAACAATCAACTCCGAGCGGCAGGAGTAACAATATACACCAAGAAATCTCTTGAACAATTCGTTCAGGCCAGTCCCAATTTCCTACACAGTAGGTTAATGGACTGACACCTATCAGAAAACAACTACTCCCCAGGCTTATACTACGAAGGGCGTTGGATTATATCCGACAGGTGTCAGTGCAGGATTCTTCACAGAAGTTATTCCTGCTATGCTGTTGACGATACAACTGCCGCAATAGATTTTCAATTATTGGAACACACTTGCAGACCGGTTTCGGGATGTTTGGCCACTCGTCCACTTGTTGACATCAGTTGACAAGATATTGTGCAATATTGCCTAGTCCTGCACAATATTCTTCAGAATACTCGACATATTTTGAAACGATTTCATTTCGTACAATACACTTTTCAAAATCAGAAACACATATTCAATTTTATTGCACCCCCTTCAATATTGTAAGTGTACAGACTGCTCATTGAAATTATTTTTCTGTAAATGTTTCCGTAATCAGCATATAGAATTTCGTTTGAGTATTCGAAGGATTTTATTTCTATATACCAGATACAGCATCGGACTCAGGTGTGACCACTGCGGAACACCCGAAATTAGTACAGAAGGTTCACATTTTGACTAGAACTATAAGCTTTCCACTGCAGGAGGTTACCCTGCATACCGACCTGAGTAAGTTTGGAAATGAATAAGTTGATTAATTAAATGCAAAATCTCTTTCTCGAAATATTGTCTCCACAATGAAAACAAAAAAATATTTGAATATCTTAGGAATATTTTGAATATACCTATAGTTATGCCATGAAAAATAATATTAAAAGTTGAGAAATCGTGGAATCATAGGACATAAGCATAAGACGAACTGGCACCCGAACTCCGTAAAATAGAGAAGCTTAAGCCGATGTAAATAGTGCAAATAGTTCATCTTACTTGAAACACTGGTTCACCTTCCAAGGGCTTCCAAATTTTGTCATATATAGCAGGAGATAAGTTGACGATTTTTCGGAAAGCCAAGCCATAATCACTATTGAACGATATAGAGGCAAATAACAATTCCATATCGGGATACGATGGATCTGGTTCAGATGAAATATTAGTTCTCATGAAGGTAACTGCTTCAATTCCACCTGGAAAAATTATTGTTCCAATCAATGCTTTCAAGTGAATGAGATATATTTGTATATTTTTGATTGCGGAGTCAAATTTTCATTATATCAATTAATAAAAAAAGTTCCATATGTCGCGAGCTGAATCAGAGACAAAGGAAATGTTTGAACCTCAAAAATCATTTGATATTAGGAAAATATACCATATGCTTGTTAATTTATACCGTTAAGAATAATAAAAATAATTCAGTACTATGTTTCGAACTTAATTCAATCTTTAGTGTAAGAGTAGTTGTTTTGAAAGTATTTTTTCGTTCGTGTAATTTAATGTTCATATGAAAGTGGTTGTTTCGAGAGGGCTTTTTCGTCCAGTTTATGTCTGAAACTCACTTCTTTGCATAAACCATTTCATTCTGAAACGTAATGCTTTCCAAGAAGTAGAAAGCCAAAACCTTTCTCTCACAAAAACGATCATAATAGTACAATGTTATTACATTTATGGTATTATTTTTATCGATTTTTGTATTAACAATCTGTCATACTGTTTTGTTCATGTTTTGTGGATTCCTAATAAAGTTTTCGTTCCTTTCTGGAGACAGTGCTGAGACAGTTGAGATCGGAAAGTCTCTCCGTTTCTTAATATTAGTGAAACAGTAAAGACACAGAAATCTATTTTGTGAAGTTCCATTTTGGGAAAAGTATTTTCAAAAAGTGATTTGAACTCCTGCATGGAGTTTTCATCAAAATCCGCTGAACTGATGGATGAAACTGATAGTGAAACGCGTCTTGAACAAAATTAACAGTGTGTTCATTATAATTTTCAATCCTGGATTACTTTCCTGATTGTTATATTTTATAAATCACTAGCGATCAGCCCCGCCGGCCCCCGGCCGGTACCACCATAACTGCTATACGTCCCTGCATTTTTAATCTTAAATTTTTTCGAAGATGTTCATTTGAAGTACATGCTGTGAAGTGCCATATTGATCTATATCAAATGCATAATGTATTCAAGGTACTTAATTGGATAAGGATTAGTGCAGTATTGCTTAGAATCGCTTCGTAAATGAGCCATTACTTCTCGAGGTGAATTATTATTATGGGATATCCCTGAGAGACAGACCAGAGATAAACCATCGTGGACTTTTTAGTAGACCTTTTTAAGGTGTTCGATACTTTAGTACATTTTTTTTATCTATCTCATAGTATTCAGCCAGTGTTTGCAATGTATTTATTTACGACATGTCATTAGAAACCTTTGAAATTATAAGTGTTCTTGTACTATATTATGCATGTTATATACAAAAAAATCTTCCTCTTGAATCACTCTCTCTGTTGAAATGAAAAAACCCGCATATCATCTGTGGTAATTGAATATTCACTATTTTTTGGTAATATCGTTGAGAATCATCACGAAAAACGTAACGCCGGCCGCCGCTGGCCATCGTAATTCAATTGTGATGTGGCCAAGATCGGGGACAGTGTGGTACGGAACGATCTAATAAGGCCAAAAACATTTGAAAATGAGATGAAATTTCAGTTAAAATGTTTGGTTGTATTAACAGTGAAATGAAGTTGAGTTTGATTATTGTACATTGTAGTCATTTATTGTCAAACCCACGGGAAAAACCTAACAGGATTCTCATTTCTATTATGTAACGAATGAAAAAATCCATTTTTATGTTCAGTTAACAAATGGCTCATTGAACTTCTGGAGTTTTAGCATAGAAAAAATTAATTGGAATACCATCAACTTATTTTTCGAAGGTAATTTGAAGATTTGTGGTATAATGAATATGATGAATGAAAAGTGAGTTTGACTTTTCCATTTTCCACATGCTTGAATTGTAACACCATGTTTCACAATTCGTTCAGGTTTTAATAATTATATAATTATCACGCTTCGAAATTATGTCAAGGAAGCTGAAACGTGAGAAATCTGCCTATATGCGATTTGTGCTTGACAAAAATAAAAATATCGTTAAGACGATGTGGCGCTATCTCAGCGACTGGGGTGCACAAATCGACTCTCAAAACGAATAATATTCCTTTAGAACTCCGTGAGCCTGATTTACTTAACAATTATTTTTTGAATGTTGCCGGTAATACCTCCGTAAATGCGGAACTACTATCATTCTATAATAATAACCTTCTGGAAAGTAACTTGAAATTCTCATTTACTGAAATAACTAGTGATCATGTCTGGAATGCTCTGAAATCTCTGAAATCGCAGGCATTGGGTTTAGATAATATTAGTCTCAAAATGATAACAATTGTGTTGCCTGTCTGCATAGAGAAAGTAAAACACATCTTCAATGAATCCTTGAGAACAGGTACATTTCCTGAATTGTGGAAAATTGTCAATGTCATTCCGATACCTACAATATCCACACCTAAAAGTTTTAATGTTATTCGTCCCATATGCATTTTACCTACATTTTCCAAACTCTTTGAAAAAATACTTTCTCTACAGATCAGACAATACCTGGATTTCAATAGTATCTTACCAGAAGTACAGTCTGGCTTTCGTTCGAAACATGGTACACATACGGCTCTATTGAAAGTCATAAATGATATATGTACTTATGATGATAAATCTATACCGTCGATCCTAGTTCTCCTGGATCAAAGCAAAGCCTTCGATCTTGTCAATTTTCAGCTTCTTCTTAAATTGAACTTCAATGACCATGTCCAAAATATATTTAAAATAGCGTTCTTCAAACTGAAATCACTTCAAAAATTTAAATATCAACTATCAACCGAAATGAAACTTAAACTAGTCAAATCCCTCATCTATCCACATATAGAATACTACGCTCCAGTGTATTATAATTTCCTACCGGAATATAATCGACAAAAGTTGCAACGCATTCAATATGTCTTTTTAAACTCATCAAAAACAAAATACCCCTGAATTTATTAGAGCTTATAATACGTCGTTCTAATATCCGTAGCATCAATACCAGGTTCAATAATTTCAACATTCCAAACCATGTCACATCTAGATACGAAGGATGCATTTCCTATTTGGCACCGTTATTTTTGAACAGGATAATTCCTCCCCTGAATTCACCTTTATATGAAGTGAAACATCATTTGAAATCAACTTTGTTGACCAGCATGGAGTAATGTATTGTATTAGTGTTTTATCCTTTACTTTTCTGCAAACTGAGATGTATTTATCATATTCTTTCTTTCAATTTTGACGCTGAAGAAAATTGAATTATATTAGGTAATTACCTTATTGCTCATAAATGATATTTGTATTACTTAGCAGGAGGGGTGGAAGATAGCCATAGGCTAACCCCTACCTTTTGTGTGTAATTTATGCACAATAAAGCTATTATCATTATTAAAATTATTATCTGCTTTGCACACAACCTTGACTGGTGAAATATCGTCCACTAAAGTGTTGAGGTTATGGTGTATGTTTTCGCAAATTTCAAGACACTCTAAAGGTAACTCACCTTTTATCATTAAGATGTACTCACCTAACGTTGTTAATATTCCTGTAGATTCTTTAAAATATTGCAGATACGTGGAAGGACTAATCAATTTTCTTAGTATATTTATGCCTATACTTTCATTCAGACGAAACACCATTCCAGGAAAAGTAGCGTGATCATACAATTGAGCCCCTACTGGTAAATCCTGAATAACGGGAATACCTGCAATAAGATGGGTAATTTCCGTTAATCATTGATTCGGATTCTTTTGATTTGTTGACTGAAAACAAAAGACAGTTTGAAAAAAAACAGTAGATTAATGATTCAATAACCAATTCAAAATTACTTAGGGGTTCAGCAACAAAACTATACATAAATAGAAATGTTCAGTCAAATATCATTATTTCTTGCACAATAATCTTCGAACTGACATAATTCTTGACTTGCTATGATGGTATAAGAGAACTACATCAGGCTTATTAGCTTTTATGAGCCTGAGCGTAGAGAATGAGTAGTTCCAATGAATTCGGCACTTCTATATTTTCCACAACGGATTCTATTTCCTCTTGGACGTAGGGCAACACTGCATATTTTTCTAAGAATGGGCTGGTCTGGCCCTATCTTCGAAGCCCCGATACATTCGGGAGGATACGCCACCATTATCAACCATTGATAGCTCCTCACATGCTGGTATGAATGATCATTGTGTCTGAGATTCATGTGCCCTTAGCAGATGTATTGAGCCAAGAACGACAGCCCTTTGCATTTGTCCGGCTGAAATTTCTGCCTCAGTCGGCATGATTTCCAGTCCACCAAAGACTCCAATAATCAAAACAATATTCCTGACTGAGTGGTCCGAATAGAGTCTGTGGGGTCCGACGTGGAAATCTCGACAACTCATCCGTGTTTTCTCCTCTTTTCGGACAATATTCGTCACTCCGGGAGCTGAAAACTCCACGTCTTGCTCTGATGGTCGAGAAAACTATACATCAGGCTTAATAACCTTCAAGAGCTTGAAGGTATGAAATTATCATTTTCAGTAATTCTGCGTTTCTCATTCCCTACAACGAATTCAATATCCCCTGGCGCGTAGGGCAATACCGGTGTCTGCTAAAGTTCCGTAGGTGGTGATAAAGCAATCTTAGGGCCGTATTATGTCGATAGATATAGGCTGAGACCGGATATAGGGCCTCAGATTCCTCGCGTCAGGCCCTGCACTCTGTTTCACGAACCTCTATACCCGTCACGCCACTGCGGTAGACCATGGTGTTGGAGGCATTTTACTGGTAGGCCATGATAAACCCCTCAGTTTTCGACATCAGTCCACAATTTCGTTAAACAAGAATGATCAATGCAGTTTTCATATGTGCCTTTTGCTAGATGGGTTCCAACTCGGTGACAGAGTTCTGATCACCTCGTTTCGTGTCGGAAATTAAACCTAGTTCATCAGCCGCTCACGCAGCTGCCCTGAAGAGAATTGCTTCAATTTCTGATCTCTTATGGTCGCGGACCATGCAAAAGAGGAAACACGAACTCCTGCCGACTGTACAGGCTCAATCCAGTAGATACTTCACACTCGCGGATTTGGTATGCAAATTTTTGTAGAGATGTATAATTTTTTGGGTTAACTCTTGTGAGTGGCTACGTTCCGTTGCGAAATAAGTATATATCTCTCCGGCAATTAGATGGTGCAGGATGCATCCATCTACGAGCTACACATCCTCTCTGTGATCTCGCCATCGTCCTGTTTCCAGTGGCATTTGAGGTCATCCATGTAGAACTAATGCCTCCGGCTTGCTCCTGAACAACTCGTAAACATGCTCGTGAATAACTCGTAAACATGCTCGTGAAAATTCTGGTCAACAACTTATAACACGATTTTAAGTATATTATCGGTATGTACTTTTCAGAAATTGACAAATCTTCGCTTTCGGAAATGAGAACGGTCCGCTTCTTGACGAACCAATCCGGAAATGGCTGCTCTCTGTCCAACCATGAGTTGAATATTCTGGCCAGGTAGCGGTGGGTACCTCCATTTTTTGAGTGTTCTGTCCACAAATTTTTCCCTTTTGATTTATATCATACACACTCAATAACATCTATATCTCTCTATTTATATCCTGGACTTGGTAGTCTTCTAATTGAAATCACAAATGTGCGGTTAGCTCCTGTTGGTGACACCGTGCATATGTGAAGTTTTTCATTTTTGTTAACCAATTGTTGTCTATCTTTGTAATTGGCTGCACCGCGTTGGTGAGGCCAATAGCCAGAAACACGTGTCCGCGGTTTGCCAAAATAGATTTGTCTCATAAATATTTCATTGTACAGAGGATCGCTTGTATGTATTTGATGACATGTAGGTTGAGGTTTAGGATGATTACATTATGATTTTAAGTAACATGGACTTGGATATTGAAATAGTGAAATCAATCGAAATATGAATCTGTTACTATATCATAACAAAATAATAACAGTAAAGTAATTTGCTTCAAACTAGTAATCTGTTTTAAACAAAAAAAATTTTTAAAATCTGTTTTTCCGTTAATCAGGTAATGTAATGTATAGAAAGATAGAGAAAATGCAGCAAGCATCTACTCACCAAATTGTTCTAAATGTTGTTTAGGTCCTATCCCAGATAGCATGAGAATTTGTGGGGAATGTAGACCACCAGCAGATAAAATAACTTCTTTGTTAGCTAAAGCATGATGAACTTCTCCATTTTTGATATACTCAACACCGTAAGCAGTTTTACTTTCCTCATCTACGAGTACTCTAGAAACTCGAGATCGTGTTTGAATTTTCAAGTTGGATCTCTTTCGTACAGGCCTTAGGAATGAATTTTCAGCAGTGCATTTCTTTCCTTCACGTGTAGATGCCTGAACGTAGGATACCTGAAAAATATATGATTTGCTGGATAAATATAATGATGCGATATTCTAGGTAGACAATGTGTATGAATCAAAAAGAACGAATCAATCAACTTCAGAATTAGGGGGTTTTGCTGACGAGTTAAAAAAATCAATTCCAGAATCTGTCTTAGGTCAAACGATAGGTAATTGGTTAATGAGTTATACTCATGAAATGAACTCTAGAACCCATGTGTGACCTTGTTAATTCACTAGCTCGTCCATAGGATTGCCGTTGGTGAGTTGTTCAATGAAGAATCTCCTTCAATACATTTTTTGAAATGAATTTGAATGATTATCATTTCAAATACATTGTCAGATGTCAGATGTCGAACTCGATTATGCTCAGACTAGTTATCTCAGAGTTGCAATTTGCAAAAATTACTATTATACCCAGACGAGAATATTTTTGCAAGTAAATAGGGATATAACTTTTCAGAGACACGCACTTTATGTCAACCACAGAAAATCAAGTATCTCCAAAACACAGAATATAGTTTTCCTTTCCGTCAAGCATTCCGTCAAATGATGTATAGGACTCCTTACCAGAAGAGGTTTTTTTATAAAATGTTTTCTCGTATGGGTCAGCCAGTGAGACTCACTTGAATGAACATGAAAATATGTGTTCGCTCTACTGCGAAAACGTTTTGTCAAGCCCAACTAGTCATATACATAACTGAATACACAATGTTTGTCTTCATGATTAGTTTCATATTCAGGTTTACTTACTTCAGTTCAACTATTTTGTTCAATTTCCGTTAAATATAAATTGAAAAAAATGATAAATTCATAAAAAAGTTACTCCTACTCACCCCTAGTTGACTTTTTCCATTATAGTCCACATATGGGTAACCGGCCTCTTGAGCTGCTTTTACATAAGCTTTTGCGGCTTCTGTTCGGTACGGGCTATCACTCACAGATGAAAAGCCACCTTCATTGTGGAATTCTTCATCATTTATTTCAAGGTGAGCATCTTCTGATTTGAGAAAATAAGGAAGCATATCTTGATAAGACCACCCTGGATTTCCGTATGCTGCCCATTTATCGTAATCATGTGGGTCACCTCTGACATGAACCATGTAAGTTAAGATAGTACTTCCACCGATACCTAAGCCATGGGCCCATTGCGCCCTGCCCTCAGTGCAACCTGTGAAAATGATTGTGGAAGTTACAATTCTATCTTACACCTTTCGTCCAATTTCCGGCATATATATTTGAATGAAAATTTTCAAATATAAGTAGTTGACCGTTGAGTTAGGTTAGGTTAGGTCCAAAGTAAGTGGGTATGTTCGAACCTCCACCGTAATCCGCAAGGGTTTATTGTGGCTCACAACTATTCACACTCGACCAAATAGACCCAGCTTCTTAACGCTCTCGCTCTCGCTCCTGATCTTAATTCATAGGGAGGTCAGTTTGAGCCGTGAACTCGACATCCATCTCTTCTGTAGACTCGCTCCTAAACTAAATTTACAGGAAGGTCGATTGGAGTCGTAACAATTTTAAGTTTTCTCTGTCCATAAAAGTCTCACGAGTAGCTAGGGAAAGAAAGTCAATCACGGCAGAGCCCCGCGTTACTGTGACAAAGCGATGCTACGAAGAGAGGGCGCCCGGTATCTCGAAGGTTCCGTAGAGACAGCTGATCAATCGTTTGGATGCCATTCAGTTAGGGAATCAGAGAACGACAAGTGATTCTGTCATTTCCGTATCCAACGGGACTACGTGGAAGCAGGCATCCGATGAGCGGTTTGGTCAACCCCCACATCCTAACCCAATGCACTCGCCAAAAACAGCATGCATAGTGGTTCAGGCAGTGTAAGATGAATCCAACCGTACTTGAACATCAAAACTGTAAGTAAGTTTGAATTCATTCGTTTACTATTTCGACAACTATCAATTCATTGAGAAATGCGCATACGTTATTGATAGATTAGGGGGGTGTGCAATAAACCATTTTGAAAAACCTGTTATTATAACATGTAGGAAGATATCTATTTCGTTCAATTCTCGCTGTGTAAGTGCTGTTTGGAGTAAACGTGTTCTATCGACGTACTGCTACGTGTATTATTCTAAAAATTGTGAAATGCCACTCCAAATATACTTTACAAATTCAGGGACTAAGTCGAAGGTGATTCGGAATTTAATTAGGATGAAATAGACACAAAAATTTGCAGTGTATTCTGTTTGTTTATTACTAAGATTGCACTTATAATGTCGAAGATGGAGTGCAATCCATTATTAAAATGCTAGTAACCTGATGATTTCTCGAATCATTTGACATAAACTATTACAGGAAAAATCTCTGAAATTGTTTTAAGGGAATTGGATGATCTGAAGAAGGAGAATGAAAAACTGTTAGCTCAAGTGGAAAATCATAAAGAATTATTAAAAAAAAATCGCTGGGAGACAAGGAGAACAACATAATTTTATGAAAATTGAAAATATCAGAATCTAAGTAATAGAAGAGCAAAAGATTCAGGATTGTTCTTGAGCTGTTAATGATTTGTGTAAAAACAAAATGTGAAAATAAATATGTATTACCACCTGTTCTCGCCTTTCTTTCATTTTTAGTTGTTGAGGACAGTCTGGCAACATTGTATTCTTCGGCTGACCAGAGAGTGGGGAAACAATTCAATAAGATATACCTCACATACACTGTTCAAATTTCTAACTGTATTTGTATACTTATGTGGAACACTTACTTCATCTCCATTATCATACTTTAGATCAATTCGATATTATCAGTGTCAATAATAATAATATTAAATTCATTTTCATCATAAGATGAACTACAAATTTTAGTGTTTTGATATGAATTTTATTATAAACCTTTTCTGTCTGAACGGAAATTTTCATTTCATCAGAATTATAATTCAGTCCTAAAAATTGTAGATAATTTTTTGAATTTCATGTCCAATTGTTCAAAACTCATAATCGGATGATAACAGAATATAATCATTGTATACGACAGATCGGAAACACTTTTTTTTTAATTCCGTATTCAGTTTCATTATTCTTGAAAATAAAAAAGGGGATAATTCATGCCAAATGTCATTTCATTTGTATTGATAATTCAATTGGAGACTACGAAATGAAATCTCATGAGCCTCTGTAACAGATATAAAGAAATGATAATTTTCAAGGTCCTATCATTCTAATAATCATCCTATGGACCTCCTATTCAAGATACAGTGATTTCAGGATAAGTATCAATCTCCGCAAACCATCAGAGTCATAATGATCATAATAATTATGAAACTATCAGATATGAACTAGTTCTTGCATTATTTAACCTCAACCATAACGTTTGCTTATAATGAGTTATTCTAAGCCATTTGAATATTGCAGATTGCCTTCAAGAAACATATGGGTTCTCTGTTGTAGTAACTTTGGCAGATAGATTCCATGTAAAAAATAAACACCCATGATGAACTTTCAGAGTGAACCGTAAATCGAGAGTAGGTGGGAATTGTATTTAGATATACAGAGCTTTTCATGATGAGCGTTAATTAGCAATTTCTGGCAAACTATTCAAAGAATCAACCTGAAAATTCCACAGTATGCATAAATCAATATGACCTACACGCCTAAAATATTTTAGACGTAGCGGCGTTGTCGCTTCTACTATAAAGTAGCGGCTTCTTTGATTTTTCAAATGGAACACCCCGTATATAATATCATATTATGATTCATTATCACTTTGTCAACAAATTCATATACTATTTCCCTATACCTATCTATTACCGTTTAGAAGATATAAATTAATTTCGATATTTTTTTTACCAAACATGAACTTTTATAAATGCTGATAATCTTGAACTC